TAATTTCAGTTTGGGTCTTACTAGTCCTATTGAGAATCAGGTTGCTCGGGATTTTCGGAATATTTTCTCTCGGGAAAATATTTTTGATGATTCCTGGGGGACTGATTTGGACGAAGTAAGGTCTATAACTAAAAAAATTCAAAATATGAAAGCTCCAGGTGATGATGGAATTTTCTATATCCCCATCAAAACACTCCCAGAGAGTACCTTGTCTTTCTTGGTAAAATTATTTAACAGATGTTTCCATTTGGCATACTTTCCTGATAAATGGAAAAATGCAAAAGTTGTTCCAATTTTGAAGCCGGATAAAAATCCAGCTGAAGCTTCTAGCTACCGTGCAATAAGTTTGCTTTCTTCAATAAGCAAACTTTTTGAAAAGATAATTTTGAATAGAATGATGCTTCACATCAATACGAACTCAATTTTTGCAGATGAGCAGTTGAAATTTCGCCATGGGCATTCAACTACTCATCAACTCTTAAGAGTTACCAATTTAATTCGTTCAAACAAATCTGAAGGCCACTCAACTGGAGTTGCTCTTCTACACATAGAAAAAGCATTTGACAGTGTTTGGCATGAAGGTTTGATTGCTAAATTGAAAAAGTTTAATTTTCCACTTTACATTATGAAATTAGTTCAAAATTATTTAACTGACAGAACTCTGCAGGTAAATTATCAAAATTCCAAATCTAATCGACTACCTGTTAGAACAGGAGTTCCTCAGGATAGCATTCTTGGGCTTATATTGTATAACATTTTCACTTCGGACCTCCCTGATTTGCCTCAGGGTTGCCACAAATCTTTGTTCGCTGATGACACAGGCATTTCCGCTAAAGGAAGAAGTCTTCGTGTTATTTGCAGGAGACTGCAGAAAAGTTTAGATATTTTCTCTTCTTATTTACAAAAATGGAAGATTTCTCCCAACCCTTCCAAAACTCAACTTATAATATTTCCACATAAGCCCAGAGCTTCGTTTTTGAAACCTAGTAGTAGTCACATAGTCACTATGAACGGAGTTCCAATTTCCTGGTCAAACCAAGTGAAATATCTTGGATTAGTTCTTGACCAAAAATTAACTTTTAAAGATCACATTGAGGGCATTCAAGCCAAATGTAACTAATATATAAAATGTTTGTATCCTTTTATAAACAGGAAATCCAAACTTTGCCTGACGAATAAACTTCTAATATTTAAACAAGTTTTTAGACCGGCCATGCTTTACGCTGTGCCAATATGGTCTTGTTGTTGCACTACCAGGAAAAAAGTACTAGCGAAATACATAGAATTTCGAATGTTGAGACTTTAGCACAAATGTCCAACAAAATAATTAATAATTTACGGCAAAAATCATTACAATCCTCAATTGCAACGATTAATTCCCTTTTATACTTAGATAAGATTAAGTTTTAGTTTTTTAGTTTTAAGCTATCAATTGTTATACTGACATGCAGGTTTAAAAAACCTGTTTAAAATACTGAATTGCCAAGATAGGAACAATGTAAAAACACTTAGATATATATCATAACAATTAAGGCTGGTAAGTTACTGTAGTAACTGGAACACCTAGGTTAAAAATGAAATGTAATTTATTTTGAATTTGGAACAAATAAAGAGTTAAAAAAAAGTGGGTACCCAACACGTCTCTGATAGGGATATAGGGTTGTCTTCCTTGGGCCTCGAGGGTATTCAAAATTCGTTCTCTGCCGGCGTCATTATCCGTACAAAGGATTTGTTAACTGGAAGAGGGTTCGTGGATTTGCCAGTCACTTGCCACGTAATTACAGATGTCCATCTGGTCGTTTTGTCTTCCAAAGGTCTTCAATGAACCTGATTCACCCTACTGCAACACACCATCAAGCAGAGCTTTGCAACCGATAAATTATCTGCAGATATTGGTAAACTTTACACTGATGGTGGCCACTTTTCACAAAAAGCCCCTTCATTTATTTTCCTTCTTTTTTATAGTCGCTTTAACACTCTTGGATCAGATGGGAGTTGGATTTGAGCTCGTGACTTTGACATGAGAGGTATGGAGGTGCACCACTAAGCTGGAGTCGCCCCTTTACTTCCTTCTTGCAACAGCAGAAAAAGATGGTCTTTTTTTGACAGTTTGAACTGGTTCAAAAATTATTACGCCTTAGCCAAACCCTGGTTTGAACCAGAGTCCGGTAGATCTTACAACCTAACACAACGAGACTTTTTTACCAAAATTAAACGTTTACAAAATATGAAAATTTAGCGTGCAACTCAATTCTTATATTCAAGAGATTATTTGCAAAGGCAATAAATCAAACGTGGTCGAATTTTATGAACGAGAACCAATATACAGGAATACCATCGGAATGTTTTCCAAACAATCGAGCTGATTTTCTGTCGGTGACAAGTTTATTTGGCCCTAATCACATACAAAAAAAAAACAGCTCAATTGGATGAAGGACAGCCGAGGACGACACCACCCACCGCGCTATTTGGAAGATTCATGGATTGCTGATACAATTTATCTAAATCCTAAAACTATCAATGTCATCAATCAACGCCAAGCGCAGCATAAATCAAAATGCATTTGAATCACATCGCAACGTCCACATAGACCTGCCCACAAAGAGTGGACCAAAATAAATTATCCTATATGCATTATTCGAACAATAATTTCGACATTAATCACCCATCAAGGTCTCTTAATTTACTTACCCTACTTTTTTGTTTACACTCCACGCTTGTATCTTGCTCATCATCATGTCGTTCCACCCACTACAGGCTGTCGCACCTCTCCGTCGGAATGTCGTTTTTCTTGTTGACGGAAAGGAAAATCACCACATCGGGCTTGCGATTTTCGGACTTGGGGCCGTTTGCTGTATGCTTCGTTCGCATTCTTCGTCTGTGTTTTGTCGAATATTTTCTCGCGTCGTCTCTCGGACGGGCAAGGAGGTTTCGTAAAAAGTGTTACTAACCTCTCTACGACGGTGACGGGCATGGTTTTGTCACGAAGGAACCGGCGAGCGAGCCGAGGTGACCAACACCAACCAAACGGAAGAGAGTATGGTACGGGCGGGTAACGATCACAGATTGCCGCCGTAGGACGTCAGGTCGTATTTCGCTGATGTACGTAAATGTAGAATGTAGGTACTGTGAGAGAAGAAGTGGTGGGTATAAATACATTTTTTGAATTGTTTTCAAATATTCGAAAGCAAAACTCGCTCAATCTGCGGCCAAGGAGCGCAGTTTAGTTTGCAGTAGCGCTTCCCTGTTAGCGGGAGTAGTCACTCGACAAACGGTTTATTAGAAGAGCACCAGCGCCTGGTCAGGTGAATCGCTAGTAATCGGTACCCGCGAGTTGAATTTTCCGGCATTTCCATGGAACGTTGAATGCAGCTACCGAGATTGTCGCGCGCCCATTCGGTAAAACGACGATGGATAAACGTGTTTGTGTGAGTGGAACGTGCAGCTGTGGGACGAAGGAGGAAAATTGATTTTCTCTTCGGTCGATTCGCGCGCACTACTACCACTGGGTACTAATACCAACGTGGACGAGGTATTACTGAGAAACATGCTAGTAGAACGTCACTGGCCAGGACGAATGGCTTGAATAACATCAACTGGCGCAAGTCGGCATTGCATCAATTAGCACAAGAAAAGTTTCATGTTAGCGGTATTAAAATTTGTGAATTTTGTGATCTCATAATATTTTTTTTAAACGATAGGCTAAGAACATGCGTTTGAATAGGTTTTGAACAGTAGTGTTCCGATTTTGCCAACATAAGTACAAATATGTAACATTTGAGGGTGGGTCCAAGTGTTTCCGTATGTAAATACGGACGTTCAGGTTAGGATGAATTCATAGCTGAACACATTGGACTTTGAGGACAAGCTTGAAGGACATCAGGAATCTTTCAATAAACATAATTCGATAGCAAACCATGCCATAGGCGTAGCCAGAGGGGGGCAGGGAAGGGAAACTGCCCCCCCCCCTAAAGTCAGCAACACAAAGGCTTTCGGTGAAATGGCATTCGGTCAAAATTTCCATAGTCAATTTTTGTTCACCCCTCCCTAGCTCGTAACCTGGCTACGCCCTTGAACCCTGCGTACTATTACAAAACTGAATAATTTCAAATGCAAGTTTGATGAACTTTTTAGGGTGGATTTCGGAACTGTCCACATACCTCTTTAAAATAATTGTATGGACCGTGCAAACTCGCTAACGCTCTTAAGGCCGGCGCACAATAGATACGTTTTCAGGTTTTTTTTACAGTTTTCCCATGCATTATCTGTCAAAAAACCCGAAAACGTATGCATTGTGCGCCGGGCTTTACTCAGCTTGCCATCTACGCCAAGTCCTTTTTGGCTAATGATTCCCTTTGATCGCTCATAAGTCACTCAATATACTACCTCGAACTTATTTTTCATAGAGTCTGTAAAGTCTAAATATAGCATAATTTCCCTGAACAATGCACGCAAAAAATATAAAAGTAAAAGATTCCCGCCTTGTACCAAAATTTACATGGAAGTTGCGACATATTATTATAGGTAGAAGAGTTTTATGTTTTTTATTATTATTTTAATTTTTCAAAAAAATAACATTGTTATGGTGCAATACTTTGTTGCATTTTCGAAAAATTCAAACCCAGCTTTTTTCGACGCATCATTTCAGATGGCAAAAAGCTCGCAAGCATGTTGTGTAAAATAGCAAAAGGAACGTAATGACGAGAGCTTTAGCTATCTGAATTGAAGCGTCACATAATAATTGGTGAAGTGAATTTATAACCTTAAATTAATGTTTCGCCTAGCCTACTATGAAAACCAAAAAATCGATTATCTTTGTTGCCTGACGGTCTGCAGACGTTGTTGGATACCTTGGATACACTACACATGCTGCCATGTTGTTACTGGTGTTGGTATGCTTCATAACATATATTTCGCTACCATCATCGTGTGATAGTTGCTGCGTGTTGTTTCAATCGAGCGAGGAACTGATTTTTTGCTGTTTTCCTTTTTTTTCGCAGGATAACCCCTTCAACAGCCTCGGCAAGACAGCAAACACAGGCACCCGAGCAGTCTAAGCGAGAGGATTGCTCGAAGAGGTACAGGCAGAGTGCTTTTCACCTTATTGGCTTTGGTCGAATGCTGGTTCTTCGTGGAAAGTTCGCAGCTTAGTGTTCGGTCGGGTCGTGTTTTTACAAAGATAGTACGGAAAATTAGCCATCCATTTACTACCCCTAGTCCATGTGTATAGTGTAATTGTTTATTTACCAGTAGTGGAGACGTGGTGCTTTGTAGGAAGAGCTTCTTCGAGATTTATAAAGGAAGATTTTTGCTATTTATCAGAATCTCGTGCAGTGAAAGGTGCAAATAAGAGGCCGAGACTGAGCATTATTGTTTTTTTCGGTAGTGGCTGGTGCCGCAGAAGTGGGTGGTGAAATTTGACCCCGAATGTGGCGTGCGGAAATGATTGCATAAGTTCTTTTGTTCTCAGCAGCATAATCGTGCACAAAAGTGGAAAAGAAATACATAATCCAGTGGGAAAAAAAACGAAGGAAAAATCGATTGAAGTGTGTTTTCTTTTCAAGTGATTCTGAGAAGCTTCAAGTGCTGATAGCTATAAAAGGATCAGAAGAAAATTCAATAGTCTTTCTTTGTTATTATTAGTGCGTTCAGATTGCATTAGCGAAGTGATTGTGCGTGCTGTCCCGGGTCGGGTCTGAATGTTGAAAATGTCCTCGATATCCGCTCAAGGAGTGGTTGAGCGTGCCTCGGCCGAGCTTTCAAAGCGCATCAACGGCCTTGGGCTGCGGTCGAAGCACCATCATAGCAGCGGAAGTAGTAAATCTGGAGAGAAGACAAGTGTGATGGAACGCGTCACAAATGTGCTCTGCGGTGGTTCCAGTAGCAATAATGCTGCACAATCGGCCAATGCCGGAGGTGCTCCGGAGAAACCATCTCGAATATCGGGAGGCTCTACTGGAAGTGTATCAAACAGCGGGAAGAGTTCTTCAAGCAGTAAATCTCAGTCTAATACGCCTCAAACTACTCGTAAGATAGCACATCATCATCAGCATCACAGTGGTGGCGGTAATATGAACCATCATGGATCGCATATGCATAGTGGAAAAATGATTGCAGCTGCTCCTCTGCCACCCCAGATTGTAACGATCGAGCAACTGTTGCAGGATGAACGCTTTCTGAATCGCTTCTTCCTATACTTTTCGTCGTTTGAACGGTGCACATTAGCTCAGGTTTGCCAGAAGTGGCGTGACATGTTATACCGTTCGCCACGCTATTGGAGTGGCCTAGTTCCGGTTCTGTTGTGTCGTGAACTGCGTCTCACCTCAAACCAGGATCGTGTTAAGCTTTACAATTCGCTGATACGTCGCAGTTTTCACGCTGTGTGTTTGATGGGAGCCACAGATGAAGACGCCTTGGATCTTGTGCACTCGTTCCCGCTTGCTTCAAAACACGTGCATTCGCTCAGTTTACGATGCTCATCGATCAGTGACCGAGGACTGGAAGCTTTGCTGGATCATTTACAGGTTAGTGTGATACCAAAAATAAACCGTTATTATATTTCGCATCTGTGGAGTTGAGAATTGGTATTTCTAAATCTTTACTTCCCGTGGTGGCGCGCATACATTGCATTTCATACAATAATCCGAAATTGAAGCAATGTTCATGAAGCTGTCGCGATACTTTCTCTATGTTAGGGATAATTCAGGTTAAGATAGTGTCCGATTCAGGTAGATTGGAGTATATAGTGTTTAGTGGGGGGAATTGCACCCCATGTAGGCGTTGTGTAATGTGATGTGATATTTCGGGAGATCGGATTGTGTCGACTGTGGTGAGGTGGAAGATTTAATTTTGGAAAACCCGCTTTTAAACTATCACAGCAATAATTGTGGTGCAATGGAATGCGTGTTCGATTCTGCTAGGAAATCATGGTTGGATCCTTTCTTGAATCCTTCGGTCGTAGTGGTTTGCTGTGATGTGTGGGGCTCTTTGGTCTAATTGTGACCATTTTTGCATACTGAGATGAAGATCGTAGGTACAATCGCTGCCACATTTAAGATTAGTGCGGGTCGCGTCGATTTCTTATAAAGTTTTTATTTATTATCACAGTCGAACACTCCAGCACAATGTTTTTATTTATTCTCAATCAGATGATTTATTCCATTTAAATAGCTTCATGTCGCCGGGCATGAACGATCGTCGTTCACAGTGGCGACCGTTTTCGTTTAATGATTCAAAGGTTTGTACAGCTACCGAAAGTTTGGCTTCGATAGCAGATTCTGTATATTATGTATATTATATATCCATGAAAAAGAACTTTATCGATAGCATTTTTCCGAGAGTGATTTATGTGATTTGATATGTCGTGTGATAAGCGGGCACCACACGTATCAATATTATTGAAAATAATAGTATTAGCAATACTTCCATCAATCGGTACATCGGTATTGACAATATTTTTGTGAATACTGTACCTTGCACCATCAATATAATTGTCAATAATTCCCCGCCGTATCATATATTGATGCTTGTGGGGTGCACTGTCTCGTTTCGTGTTGATTTCATATCTACATGGGACTGTTATGTGAGTAGCGGCAGTATAGCTTTTGCCTCAAGGCAGTTAATGGTCACTTTGCCGGGATTATTACCATAGAGGTAACTCTAAGACCAGAAGGTCCCGAAGAAACGTGCTCAACTTTTTGGCTTAGCTCTGATACTATCTTCGATCCCAGATGCACCCCTCGAAACATAGGAAAATCCACGAACCCCTCATTTTATCTGTCAAACTTTCATAGCGAATCAAAACAAACATAGTGTAGTACTGGAATTTATACCAGAATGGGGTACTTTAATCGATTTGCTTGGGACCAATAGGCTAGTCAAGTAGTGAGCCAATTTAAAATCGTTAGTTTCGTATTGATTGTTGTTATTACTCTTATCGCTCCAAGCGAGTTAAGACGCTCATCCACATGAAAAAACAGCCGTACGAGGAAAAAACGTTGCAATTATTCCCTTTCTTGTACCTTTCATTCGTTTTGGGCCTCATGAGTAAACAAACATCATAAGAGTTCGCGTTTGGCTGTCAACGCTAGCAGTTTAGCTAGTGCCGTGCTCTGTGATTTTTTTACACTTCTCTTTGCTTGCGGCGTGCTGGCGTTACGCCTCCCGGACGAAAGGCGCTTATCGAATCTTGTCGTTGAGGTTGTGTTTCAGAAATCTAAGTGTTCCGAGCCGCTAATAGACGCGTTGGTTTCGGTCGCTGGAGTTGTCAGTTCTGATTTCGGCGTTGGTCGCGAATTGATTCGGCCAGTGAGGGGCTGGCGCTGCGTCTTCCAGACTGTACTGGTGAACTGAAGCCATTGTGTCGCGAGTGATTGGGTATGGACAGTGGTCGCAGTCCTTTTTTCACTGCTGAAATCCCTATAGTCGGAGCAGCTAGAGTGTGTTCCGTTTTTGTTGGGAATTTCCGTTGCTGTGTGAGGAAGGAAAGGTGAGAGTGCTGTTTTTAACACCGGTTGAAAAAGTAGCGGTAGCATATCTGTGGGAGCTCTTCGAAATCATCGTGATGTCATGGATTAATTTGCAACATATCGGGTGAGATCTTTCCTTTATTTTTTTAATGCTGGGTACTGGAGGGTCCACCAGGGTACTCAATTGAAGCGAAAAGGATGGGAAGAGTGGAAACGCCAATTTCCTGTCTTTAACATTTCGTGAATAGAAGGCGAGCTCTTCTCCCCACACATTGGGTCATTCTTCTGTTGGATGACCAGTTTTTTTACCGGTTGTTGGAAGGAGATTATCATGTATCCCGTGGATGTATGTCGACGATGTTGCCCACGGATTCACCAAAACCGTTTGTGGCCCTTCATACAATGGCAGGCTGAGTACATAAGAGGTCATTAAACTTGATGAAGTCGATCAGCGAGGATAGTCCACAATCTACTGACAGTTGTCTTGTTACAGAAACTGGTAGTTACATATCATCATATATCATATCATGAGAAGACAAACATCCTAATCGTCGCAGATTTTAGTGCACTCTAAAATATCTTCACGTCAGATTTACAGGAAATATCACGTAGCTGATTTGTATTAAGAAAATCTCAAATGTTACGTGGCGTTTGTAACTTTGGCCTGCACTACACGTCATGCCCACTAAAAATGTTGGGGAAATTTACCGTATATTCACGTAAACAGATTTAGTGTATTTGTGTTTGTGTGTTTGGAAATTCGATATTTCCGTGAAACGAGATTTACGTGATTTTCAGGTACGCAAAAAAAATCAACATGGCGTGAAGCGTGGTGGAAGACACAAACGTTTATGGTGGAAGAACTCCTCAAAGATTCAAAATTCCTCAGCGCTTGCTGCAAATGTTGGACGGTAATTAGATTGTTTTACATTAATCTATTGATTATTATATGTCGCTTTTTTCAAGTTTTATAATTTCAGACGGTGACATCAGCATTTTGAGTCAGCAAACAGGTGTTGCATAAAATTGACTGCTTCTATATATACTTTCCATCATTCTCATTAAAAATTCACGTACAAATTACATGAAAAGCATTTTAAACAAAACGGAATGTCACGTTAAAGTTACCAGATGTCCAGAAGTTTTCACTCCGATTTCACGTAAGCAGTACATGGAAATCAGGTCTTATTTACCTGACTAATCACGTAGATAATTGAAGTTGAATTTTGATCGGCTACGTGCAATTCTGGTAAAAGTTACGTGACAAATAGGGTGGACGAAAACCACCTATGTTTTCACGTCAATCGGACGTGAAGATTTTTCAGAGTGTAGGAAGGGATGGTCATGGCCGTAGCTTAATAATTTAATTAATTAGTAAATCACGTTATGCAGAAGATATACGCGCTGTTACTCACACACGCAACGTATGAATAGCAAAGTAAAGTATATCATCAGAAATTCTCTCCAAGGGGTATTCAATCCTACACCTCTTAATCTGTGCCGATTGGTTTAGCTGTGCTGAAAGCTGTGCAAAGCGCTATGCCAACCGCGCCGAAGTAAGCCAAAGTGTGCCAATTAAGGTGTCAATATCCCATGAGTTTGGCAACCCTGAAGTTATAATGTAATTGTGTTTAAATTTTCATTTTCATGGTGAAAGAGAAACTGGACGTCATCAAACCTATACGGAGTTCAAGCCAACTGGAACGTTCCACAAGATTCGAAATCGTAACCTGATCGATGGAGGAAGAAAATGCCGCCAGCATCCTTTGAAATTCTCTCCAACTAAAGTAAACAAAGAACTCGAATGGACGAAAAGATGAACGATAGGACTCTGAGCCATCCCTGCAGCTCGTTATCTCTAGATGAGCCGGATTGGAATCCGGAAATCTGTGTTTTATTATTACTACTGCTTGTCGATAATTTGGTAAATAATCTAGTTTTGATTGGCAAATATATTAATATATTAGATGCTCAATTCATATATGCTTCGCATATGTAGTTCGACAGTAGGCAGCAATGTACTAATGTAGTTGGTTCATCTGCACATCCATTGACTCTTGCGAGACTCTTACTGAACCGCAAATTGCTTAGGGTCATCAAGCGGGAACCGCTGAGCGCATCAAAACTCACTCTGCAGCGAGTCCAGTTTTCTAAATTCAGCAAGGCTTCACAGTGAACTATTGTCACTTCACTAGTGACAGAAAGTCACACGATTCGCAGAATATCTGAGGAAAAACTCAGGAGAAATAAGGAAAAAAATTATAATCCTGGCCGAAACCAAAATGAAAAGCTTTTTGTCTTTATTGTTTATTCGGTGTTGGGTTGTTAAGCCGAAGTTCGTTAGGCTGAAGGACGTTAAGCCGATATACAATTATCAGTTATTCTGCATAACAAACTTGTGCATCCTTTGTTCCAAATGTGAATTTGTCCATCACAAGATGCAGGATATTTTTCCGGCCGTTTTCGGATCAGTTGTGGCTGTTCTACGTATTGCACACCTTTGTCAGGAACATCTTTACCTGTCTGTGGTGGTTTCGAATTAAAAGAGTATCAGGATTTGTGCCAACTTTTGATAGAATTTCACTGCAAAGAAAGCCTTATTTTCAAGGACTTTGTGGAAGAATGAATCGAACCTATTTACAGACACTTTTTCCGGCAGTCTGCTCAACAACCGTTGAAAATCAAAACCGAATTCTTCATAATTTCTTCTTGAGTTTCATTCCATCATGGAGAACAACTTCTGGCTCTGGTCAAAACCACAAGCCACGCGTGTTGGGCTTTAAAATATACAATATACATCCTTAGCAAAGATTGCAGAACGTCAACGCGCGACAGTGATGTTATTTTTTTTTTGTTCTACGTGTGTCCTAACTGCCGAATAGTGTGCCATGCTGTGTTTCGGTATTTTCAACGATATTAAATTCAAAAACTTAAGAATATAAAATAATCTCTACAATATTGAATATTCTTTATTTAAAAGCTGTTTCTAAATAGTCCGCTAAATTTTTCAGATATGATCTATAAGTAAACACGGTTTTCAAAACAACAAAAGTATC